AAGGGATTGACATACAGTATCCTCCGATAACGAGAGGGATTAAGGACCACTTCGGTGTTCGGAGAAGACGTAAAGTATGGATGAGAGTGTCCGGCAGAAAGAGGGCCGCGAATACAATCGCTGCAGGCATTGATGAGTTGTATTGATAAGCTATCAGCCTCTATGCGTGTCTGAAGACATCTTGTTGATTGGTAGGAAAAGACTATCACCGAATAACCTGACTGGGAAGCATGTGGTGGACGGACAGAACGACCCATTGCCTGAAATAAAACTCGCCCTTCATGGCCACTTGTATAAAAACTTTCTCTCTGAAGCTACACAATCTGCAGCCTCGTATATCTCGTACTTATTTCCCGATTGGGAAGATACTCTCATCCTACGGCGGAATCAGACCGATCATAGTATCAGAAGTTTAAGTACTCTTTTAGATTTAGATCTTTCGATAAGAGCTGGCTGATAAAAACTTCTCTTGAATAAGACTTTCATCCACAAGCACTACACTGTCTATTAAAAGATCCACTCCTCTACAATCACATCACCACACCCACCCTATACAAACTCCCCAAATCTATACTCAAGAGTAAACTACAACCGACTCTCCCTCTCCTCCCCATTAACCAGCACATACCTAAACCTCGCCCTCCCCGCCTCCATATCCCTCAACGCCTCATTAACCTCCTCCATCCTCCTCGTCTCCACCCACGGCCTGACCCCCTTCTCCGCCGCAACCTCCAACATACACCTAATATCCTCACGGCTCCCAATATTCGACCCAGTCACATTAACCCCCTTCCCAATCAACTCAAACGCCCTCATCCTGGGCAACGGCTTCTCCGGCGCGCCCACCAACACAAACGCCCCCCCGGCCTTCAACAACCTCAAATACTTCCCAAGGGGCATATCATCCCCATCCACCGTACAAAGAATCAAATCCACCGATCGACTCCACTTCTTCTCCCATCCCTTTTCCTCCCCCGTCGCAATAAACTCATCAGCCCCTAACCCCTTCACCGCATCCTCTCGCTTCCCATTACTCCGCGATATCCCAATAACCCGCTCACACCCCAACGCCTTCGCAAACATAATCCCCAAATGCCCCAGCCCGCCGATCCCCACCACCGCTACCGTCTTCCCCTTCCCACTATCCGCCCCATCACCAAGATACTTCCTCAACGGCGCAAACACCGTCGTCCCCGCACACAGCAACGGCGCCGCAACCTCACTCTCTAATCTCTCCGGAATCCGGAACGCGAATGCCGCGGGCCCGCGCCATTTCCGCGCGAATCCCCCGTACGCGATAATGTCGCTTCGCTTTCCCGTCTCCTTGTCCCAGTAACGGCTGTTATATGTGCCCGTGATGCGCGGACAGTAGTTCTCCTTCCCCGCGACGCATTCCTCGCATGAGGGCTGTAGGCACGAGTGGGTTTGGGCGCCGATGCCGACTCGGTCGCCGATGCGTAGTGGTGTCGTGTTGGGGTAGGTGGGGATGGATGAGCCGATGCGTGTCACGATGCCGATGATCTCGTGGCCCACGATGCAGGGGTAGGTCGTTGTGTTGGGACCCCAGCCTGAGCGGAGTGTGTGGAGGTCGGTGCCGCAGATGCCGCAGTGGGTTATGTTGATTTCGATGTCTGTGGGAGTGAAGGGTTTCGGGGTGTAGGGGGCGTAGGTTAGAGGTGTGGTGGGGGAGTGAGAGAGGTAGCCGTGGAAATGTTCCGGGGGTTCGGGTGGTGACATTGTGGTGTGTGGGTTGGGTTGGACTGTGTGGTGGTTGTGGTTGTAGGTGTGAAGGTGGTGGTGAGTGCGGAGAAGAAGTTGATATAAAGGAGAGAATGCGGAGAAGTGCCGAGGTCCGTTGGTTAAGTTGGGTTGGGTGGATTGGAACAGCCGAATGTGGAATGTCCGAGTTGTGGGGATTAACAACACGTGGTTGGTGGCTACTTTAGTTAGTGCCTTGGATTATTCTACTCATTATGTAGATTATGTAGACGATGTATGCTTAAAGGTAGGTTGAATTGTGTAAAAATGTAGTAAACTATAAATGTTGCTCACATATGTGGCAGGTATCATAAACTCTCCAGAGGCATCTATCTATACACCCCTCTCCTGACACCACTTCTCTACCTCCTTCGCCAACTTCTCCCGCTGATCCCGCACCATCTCCATCATCGGCTCAACCTGCTTCGCATACGCATCGTAGCCCTTCTGTCCGTCCGGTCCAAGGCCATCCCCCTTCTGAGGCGCCAGATACGTGTCGTAGACCGAAATCATCAAGTCCATCACAGCAGACAGCTGGTTGGGGAGCCACTGCAATTTGTTAGTCATTCTGCTACTGCATTTACCACCAAAGGGCTCGCATAGACATACCGTAACAATAGGGCTTCCGCCAGTAGCAGTAGGGTGTGGCGTGCGGCGAATGATGTACTCGCGGGCAAACAGCCAGTGTCGCCAGCGGAAGCTGCGCACGTGGTTGAGAGTCTTCAGGAGAAGAATTGCCGTCTCGGTATCTGCCAGCGCAAAGTTGCGCACCCCGACCTCTTCCGACTTGGAGTTGATGTGCGCGAGGAACTCGCGGTGGGGAAGCGGACGGTAGGCGCGGAATTCATGCAGCACCTTGGTGAGCGGGTTGGAGGGCATGGGGATCTGGCAAAGGTGGTCGAGCAGTGGGATCTGTGTAGGAATTTAGCTTGAGCCGTTTGTCTTAGGGCATGGGAATGGATACATACCATGCTGTCGTTTGCACCACTCTCTCCGCGGAAGAAAAGAGGCTTGTTGTCGAGTACCCCGTCGTAGACGACGCCGTTGGGGAACATGGACTGAGAAGTGATTCCGAAGATGAAGACGCGGAAGGAGAGGTAGTCCTGGGGCTTGGAGTTGGCCCACATGTCTGTAAATGTTAGCTGAGGAGTGTACTGATAAAAGTAGGAAGCATATGCATACCCTCCATGGCTGCTTCGATCTTTTCCATCGACTCTAGGATCTCGCGAAAACCGTCGTTGACTACTGAGCGGGGCCCGCCCTGCTCAACGGTGTCGACAACTTTAACAGCTCCGCTGATCAGGCCGCTCGAGTACTTGACCATGTCCACATGAGTCAGGATAAATCCTGCCTCTGAGCTCTTGGGGTCGAGGCCGTTCTCAAAGGCGCGGACCAATCTAAGGTTAGGGTAGACTAGGCCCTTGGATGGCTCGGCCAAGGTATAGTTGAAGAGAGAGTATGCAGCTGCATAGGACAAGAAGGGAGGAATGTCCAAGCTGTATCATATTAGTATACTGGTCAAGATACTATAAGTCATGTAGGGTAGACATACAGCTGAGCACAACGGTACATGGGACGAGCTACAGTCTTGGGCAGCAGGTCCCGCCCCAACCCATAGCCACTCTCAGGGTCCTTGCACCAGTTCTCCCAGCATGGCTCGAGGATATAAGCCGAAGCGAGGAACGAATAGTCCCGGAACAGAGCAGCAATCATGTACAGGTCCGGCAACCCCTCATCGGTGACCTGCTTGTCGATCTCATCCGTCAAGTCGGGCAGCTCAGCCAGGACGGCAGGGCCCAGCTCATACTTGGCAAGCAGACCTGGAGTACCATCTTCCTTGAGGACTGGCATCCGCTCAAGCAGGGACATCAGGGGTTGGAAGACATCAGGCAGCTTGGTAGGGGCAGTGAGGTAGGGGAGGAAGCCAGTGGAGGTAGTGATAGTGAAGGGGTCCACGGACCGTGGCACGGTGGAAGGGTCATCATGAATGTGAGGGAAGCGATCCACAGTGCTGTTGGGCAAGGGGACTCTAGAGGGAGACATGGTGTGGAGGTAATGTAGTATAGAAGTCTATCCGAGATGTAAGGCAAATGGATGATGATGTGATGACGATGAGAGAGTATAGGGTTGGTAGAGACCCAAAGTCAAAATAAGAAGAAGATAAGAAAAACGGGGGATTTCCCACTGGGAATGTTTGCGAGTACTGGAGGATCTGGGAAGGAGAGCTTGGGAGCCAGAATTGGGCGGGAAAGCAGGCGATTCTTATAATACTCAGAGGCCGGTATCAATTCCGGCCTCAAAGGCACCATTACGAAAGAGGCAGGAAAACTGCGTGGGGACCTCAGACTCGTTCGCGATAACGTAGCATCATGAATGATGGACCATACTACGTGATATATTGGGGTTCTGCGATGATTCCACGCAGAAACATCACCCCTTACAGGCATGTCTGGCCATCAGATGCACGCCCATCGACTCTATACAAACTCTTGGCAAATAAGGGCACGCCAGAATCACGGGGACGCGCTATTCCCGATTGAGCGGGGTATAGCAGCTGCACCCTGTGCTCGTTCCGAGGTCTAGCCGCCTGGTGGCAGCCATAAAGGTGCTGGTATATAAGTACAGGCTCCTGATAATAGAATAGGCCCTTTACTACTCTCGAAAATACTTCTAACGCAGCCACAACTGCCCCAAAGCATCTCCATCTACATCATGGACTGCTTTATACTTCACCAAATGCCAAGGCTTTATGTCACATGGCCCCCAGCATGATTGGCCAACATCCTTGGATCGCGGCCGAATAGGCTTTCCTAGTTGCATGAGGCCGGAATTGGGCCGGCCTCCGATGATAGCCGGCCTTCTTTTATGTCGGTCAGCTATCGCTCCTATCTCGGAGTCCGCCGGCACGTGTCACCGTGCCATTCTTGGCTGATAAGGAGGTTGCAACAATTCTAAATATCAGCGTGTCTGAGACTGACTTATATTTCTACTAAAGCAATACGAAACGAAGATCCGTTCATGCATATCTGTGCTTTTTTTACCGCTGCCGTATATCCTTCGCATTGCCTTCTTTCAGCAGGTGTGGCGCTGAACAGCCAATCCCTTAGCAAAGCATGTGGTCTAGAGACAGACCGAATCACTAGTATACAGAGGTGGGTATGGATATTGATCTCTAATGTACATTTTGGGTATATTCTACAAGCATACAGCCATCACATGCCAAGTGGACATCTATACCTGCTCTCTCCTTAAGAAGGGTTCATCTCTAAACACCAAGGGCACGAACATACCAGACAAAGTCTATGAATCGTAAAGAACCGCTCGGGCGTGTATCATGATGTTTGTCCTTGATTCGACTTCCCTCCACTTGGCTCGTCAACGCTGGGCGAGACCTTCTGTAGCTTCCGGTACTCTTCTTCCAACGCCCTTTGCATCTCGAACTCGGCCTGTCGTTCCCTGCGGATACGCTGTTTCTCCATGTCTAGCTCAACCGCCTTGTGCATGCCCTAGGTACGAAACAAGCATTAGTCACTGCAATTGTCCTGGCCGTGAAGCACTGGTGACATACAATTTTCTCTTGTTCTTGTGCCCAGTGCACAAAGTAGATGATCCCCGCCGTACCGAGACCAGTCGCGGCCAGTGTCAATTTGGAAGCACGAGACATCTTGCCTTTGATGCAATTTGTAAATTGCGCGACAATCAATAAGAAGCAGTAAATGAATGAACGGTTGAATGTGCGAGTGGCATCATGTCCAAATCTGCATCGGATTATCGGTGATATCAGTGATGGCGGTGTCTGGTGGCAGAACCCCGACCGCCTAAGGGGTCATTCGTGGCGTCGGGGAGATCGAACGGCGCATCACAAGCTCACGACTCCACCTCTGTATACTCCTATATTCTCCGACTCTTTCGTTCTCATAAGCGCCTTTTCTGAGAAACAATACTGCAAAGATGGTGAGGAGAATGTGTCGCTCGACTTGGGAAATTGCCATACTGACTCTTTCGGATAGTCCGCTCAGAACTCCGCAGGCATTCAGACCCTCCTCGATGTAGGTCGCATTTGATTGAACTGGGTGGGGTATAGTGGTTGACCATCTCTATTTCAGGCCGAGAGGGAGGCTCAGAAGATTGTTCAACAAGGTTAGTTTACACTGTCTTTGAAAGAATACCGGACCATTAATCAGTGCTGACGTGTCGCATTATCCAGCCAGAGAATGTATGTCATCAGACACCCGATAACCACAGCATCCCGATTAATGTTCTTGTAGACCGCACGAAGCGCATAAGGGAGGCAAAGTCCGAAGCACAGAAGGAGATTGAGGAGTACAGAAAGCAAAAGGAGGAGGAGTTCAAGAAGTTCGAGGCTGAGGTATGAATGACTATCTGTCTGCGGGGTTGAAGTTGGGAGATGCGACATTTGGACGAACGTGAGGGTTGACATTACTGTTTCTAGCACTCGAGCGGATACAAGAAGGCCGAGGAGGATGCGAACAAGGAGGCTGAGGTGAAGCTCCAGGAAATCAAGGATGCTGGCAACGAGAGGGGTGGAAAGGTTATTGAGACTCTTATCCATGCGCTGGTCGATGTGAAGCCCGAGCCGTCCGAGAAGATCGTGATCAAGGCATAGAGAGATGATGCCGGTTGTCATTGCGGCAGCATGAGGGGTTCTTGTTTGTCATTTGCTTTCAGCCTGTGAATATAGTTCTGGCCCGCTGTTTGAGCATTACATAAATTATGTTGTATCCTGTCTGAAGCTGGCAAGAGTCAACTTGAAGTTGTCTTGATTTCTCGCTGCTGGTATAAGGTTGTTGCAAGTCAACCTATAAGGCCCTTGAAGCACAACCCAGCATACTAGTGTAGCGCTTATGTACACCAATAATAGTAAACTAAAAGAGAAAAACTAGCTCGTTGATCGCATGCATGCCTTTATTGCCAGTTACAAGCTGTGGATACAGTAGACGTTGTCAGTGCCATGGTGTTGCGGCCTAAGGCATGAAGTGCCCAGTAACTGTTGCGTCATCAGGAACACCAGGCTGCCCCCAATGTATACATTTCTCTCAAGCCTCTCTTCAGCATCACACAATTAGTGAGAGGAATCATAAGATGAGATATGCCGTTGCCGTGTCCAATGGCGTAAGAAGCATCAAATTTCATTCGCTCTCTGTCCGCTATCCAGCCCTGAGGTGTCTTCATTCCTCTGCGCGTAGGCACAGCCCACAGCATCCCAGCAGCCCCGATGCTCTCGATCCGCGCCTGGAAGACCTGGGGAACGTTATCAGAGATGAGTATGCAATAATCCGGGAGAATTACAGTAAGCATGGACCAGGCAAAGACCATACTATCAGTGTCGAGCTACTGATGCTCCCTTAACAGATGCCCCAAAACACGCAGTTGTTCTCGCGCATGGCCTGCTTGGATTCGCAGAGCTGCGTCTTGCTGGACGTTATCTTCCTGGAGTTCAATATTGGCGTGGTATTAAGGAAGCTTTATCGATGCAAGGGGTTCGGGTCATCACTGCCACAGTGCCTCCCTCCGCATCCATCGAAATGCGTGCCGAAGAATTAGCGAGAGATATCGCCGCCGGTGCACCCGGAGAACATGTAAATATTATTGCGTAAGTTTCTACCCCAGAAGATATGATGTTGACTTGTCTGACCTGGAATAGTCATAGCATGGTAAGTGCAACATCTACCTGCCATTACGGGAGTCGTTGTTGACACTTCCCTTAGGGGTAAGAACCAGGAAAGTCTACCCTTCGATAGCAGATATTAATCAGTGCTCAAGCGGGCTTGACTCTCGATACATGATCACTCATTTGAAGCCGACTGATTTCAAAGTAAAATCGTTGACCACGATTGCGACTCCCCATAGAGGTATGTGATGTCTCAAGATTCGCAGAACATTTACTTAACATTTCTAGGCTCTGCTGTTGCAGACTTCGCCCTCAAGCAGATTGGCGGTTAGTATGCACGTCGGTTCTATAAATACTATCTAACATGGTCTTAGATGACCGCCTTGCCCAGCTGTACTATGCTCTAGACCGGCTAAAGGTAGAAACGGGCGCGTTCGCCCAACTAACCCGTGACTATATGACAAACACCTTCAACCCCGCAACGCCAGACATTGAAGATGTCCGGTAGGTCCCCACTGGCCGAAGATGGTGCCGTCATCAGTATGGCTGAGCTATGCAGATACTTTTCGTACGGGGCGGCAATGCAGCCAAGTTTCTGGTCCGTCTTCCGTCTATCCCACCGTCTTCTGGAACAAATAGAAGGGTACAATGATGGACTTGTCAGCGTTGCCAGCAGCAAGTGGGGAGCATACAAGGGCACCCTGGAGGGCGTCAGCCACTTGGACTTGATCAACTGGAGCAATCGACTCAAGTGGCTGGCCGGAGAAATTACAGGCAACAGACAAAGGTTCGCCAATAGACTTCTGAACCCAAATCATTGGACATGCGAGCGCCCCTGCTGACATTGGCTGTTTTGTGTATCGTATAGGTTCAACGCCATTGCATTCTACCTTGATATTGCAGGTAAGGCGCGAAATTGTCTCGGCAGCGCATCGGTTGATAACCATGGCTAATGAATCTAGACATGCTCGCTAAGGAAGGACTCTGACGACCCACCCCACTGCAGTCAAATTGGAAATCTTGGTGCCTAGAAGTGTACTTGTAATTTGGAAGTATAGATCACTTGGCGATACCCAATTAATTGATACCATCAGTTCTTTTGATATCCATTGCCATGGCTCTGCTAGCGTCCGTGACGTGGCGGTGCAACGGGAGGGGATAACCCATACCATAGAGTTCTGTTCGGGGTGGCTGAGCAGAACCCCGGCTGTGACGCGAATCGGAGGCCAGCAAAAACCAGCCCTGCGAGAGGATCGCCATTCAGTCTGGCTCTCTCTTCCCCCGTCAGACACTGTCAGACTGAAAGGGCCCAGAATGGGTCGCACCCACCGTATGATTAAAAAAATCCGGTCAATGAACTCCACCGATTGCTCGCTCAGATCAATCAGCAGTCAAGACTCCAGGATAGTATTCATTCATTAAGAAAGGTCTATTGGTTTTTTGTTCGAGAGGGAAAAGTTCCGAACGCGCCGAGACCGTACAGTTCTCGGGTTGCCCCACGCCTTGCGCTTTTACGTCCCCTGGATTCAAACGTCATTTTCCCAGCTTGTAATAATCTAGTCAGAAAGTCACTGCCGAACTCCCGTCTTCGCTTTTCTTCTCCCAGCTTTCCACATCCGCCGTGCACTTGTTTCTGTTTCCTTTGTTTACTTGGAGTTCCATATCCGCTCTCAGTAGATACTCTCCCTCCTATTCCCCCCAGTGCATCGTCGTCTACTCCAGCACAGACTGACTGGTTCGGTCCCTGACATCGAGCCTGTGCACACTTGCCGGCCCGCTTCAACCGCCACACGGTTCACCAACTTGTGGTCGTCATGTCTGTAATCATCCATCTGGACCGGCCTCATAAGCATTTCACCAATCTCGACTATCTCACGGGAAAGGTGGTCCTACAATTACACTCTGAAGCTGCAATCGGAGGCATTCAAGTAAAATTAGAAGGCGAAAGTCGGACGCGCCTGGCAGGTCCGAAATATCCACATAATGAGCAGTCGGATAAGAAACGTACCGAAATCGAGGTTCACAAGGTGCGAATCCTGAGCCATTCCCCTCCAATTTCCTCTTCCTCTTCCGAGGCGCGAAATAAAATGCTATGATAGACTTCAATGCAAGCGATACTGATTTTAGCTGATGTAGATCCTATACAAAGTCGAAACGGTTTTCCCCACTGCCGCAGTATTCAATGCAGAGACTCCAGACAGAGCTTATACATTCGCAAGAGGGACGTACGAGTATCCCTTCAAATTCAAGGTCAGTATACTGTGCATGGTAATACCCGTGACATACAGAACTTATAGTGGCTGTGCAGTTCCCCTTCAACAATTCTTGCAGCATACACAATAGCATGCTTACGAACCTGAACATCACGGGTCTGAGGGTCGAAATGGCCAGGGACACCGCTCGCCATGTGAAGAAGACGCTCCCTCCATCTCTCAGTGGCTTCCCAGGCATGGCCGACATCAAGTACTATGTGAAAGCGACGGTTATTCGTCCCCAGTTCTACAAGGAGAATCTCAGGGCGGTATGTTGGTTTAATGCGCGATCGCTGCGAGAAGAGGATAATCTGCAGCATTCCAATGCTGATAATTGGCTTCTAGATCACCAACCTAAACTTCCTTCCCATCGAGCCTCCGAGGACAGGAAAACCGAACGAAGAAACTTATGCAAGACGACAACACCAATTTACGGATGCCCCGAATGTGTCCAAGAAAAGAAGCCTTTTCCAGAAGATGTCGAGCAGTTCGCTCCGGGACACTGCAGGCGGTTCCCCTCGCGTATCCGCTGACCTGCGGCTACCCAACCCAACAATTCTGACCTGCAATGAGCCTATACCGATGCGTGTCCTCGTCAAGAAACTGTCGGAGTCTTATGAGACTATTTTCCTGCAGATGATCCAGGTCGAGCTGATTTCTTATACCAACATCGTCGCCCATGACTTACGGCGCACCGAAAGCGGCACTTGGGTCATTCTCAGTCAGAGTAATATGGCTGTGCCTCTCGGCAGAGGCGGAGACCCAGCCGATACGGAGTGGACAATTGATTCTAGTTTATGGAGTGGTATACCTCTACCCAGTACGGTAGCACCGTCATTCGAGACCTGCAATGTCTCGCGGACGTATGAGCTCGAAGTTCGAGTGGGCCTGACCCATGGAAGTATTGGGAACATGAAGGTAAGTCGTCAGCTGCACAATTCTAGACACTCTGCTCATAACCAATAGCCCCAACTTATCGTTCTTCCGCTACGGATGCCCGTGAAAGTTTACTCCGGCATCGCTCCTCCAAAAGCACTTCTGGATGCCATGGCGGCCAACGGTCAGGCCAGGCCAGTGGCTAGCCCTACAAGTCCCACCGGTTCGATGGATAGCACACGTCCTCGAATGCCGCCTCGGCCTGCCAGACCTCCTGTGCCTGCCAATCCTGAGGACGGCTACGACGATGCACCTCCCAGTTACGAAGATGCCATGGCTGAAACTCTTAGTCCTGTGGATGGCCCCCGTCGAGAGTATAACCCACCAGATGCCTCTTCCGAAAGATCTGTTGAACCTGGAGCTGATCCGCGATCTCCAGTTGGAAAGGAACCTGAGGCGTCCACACCGTACGGCAACCAGGAGGCGATGTCCTCGTCGGAGACACTCGATATGCTGCCCGAAAGCCCACCAGAGTCCCGCTCTGGTTCACCCCCAAACTCTCCCGTTGCGCGTCAACAAAGCGTGCTCAAAATCCACAAGGCTCCCCTTCTGCTGGAGGAGGATAGCCCTCCCGAATATCAGACGATTGCAGCTGGAAAGCCGCAAGCATCCCATAGCCAGGTTAACCGTGTGCCGTCCCAGCCAGGAAGCAGGCCCATGAACCTGGGCGTTCCCAACCGGAAGCCAGTTCCCCGGAGTCCAAGTAGGCAAACCTGAAGTTTGCATGATAACGAGCTTCTATGTTGCAGCCGGTTGCATCTAATAAATTAGCACTGGGCTATTGAACCAATCTCAGTACAATATCAAAACATCCGTGTCGTTGCACGCATCCTTCCGGAGTTAACAGGAAACCTCGATGAAAGTTCCATGGATATTACTTTGCTCTTCGATACCACCTGATGCATTTTCAGTTACTATACAGGCGACTTGAATCATTCTAATCACTCACATTGTCATTCTATTCAATGAAATAATTTAATATGAGCAATATAATGGAACTGTCATGTAAAGCAAGCTATAGTGTGGCCGTAGTGAATTTGATTGATGCCTTAGGTGTAATGACCGAACAGGCTTAGCCCGGCCCAACATCCGCGCAGCTGGTCGCCGTCACACCTGCAGTTTCCTCCCGTCACTTTTCTACTTTTCTCTGGTTCACGCTTTCCACTCTTCGATTTATTACTAGATCTTTGCTGTGTTTTTAGCGCTCAAAATGTCCCTGTTGTGATCTTGCTTCGAGCTACAACCCCTTCGTGCGGTTTTCCCATACTTGTACTCATACTCCGACGCGACAAGCAAGTCGGAAAGCATCTCGCCGTTGTTAAGCACTAACGCGACGGTTTGCTGCATGAATTTGTTTTGCTTTTCGCCATCATACTTATTAATTTTAATGAGCCGTTGCTAGTCCGACTGGTCCGAAGCAACAGAAGAGGAGCTTGAAACAAAATCTTTAAACATTCCATCCACCATGCGTCTCCATCTTATCATCCAGCGCCACGGCCTCCCCGTCACGCGCATTCTTTGGACAACGTCACCGCCGTCTCTTTTCGGCCACAATGCGCCCAGTGCTTCGTCCATGCTTCCTGCCGCATCTTCTGCGCTGGCTTCGACGCGTGCACCTAATGCGCTGTTTTCCAATGGCGGGTACACGATCGCGCAGCTCCTGGAAGATGTGAATGAGGTTATCCCGCTTGAGACGGAACCAGCTTTGTTTGATACGGAGTGCAGTGGACAGTGGGGTCTCGAGGATTATGTCGTCGAAGTTGGGGGATCGGAGTGTTTGCATTTTATGGAAGTGGAAGGCTTGTTGCGGGACGGTGATGAAATCCTGTAAGTGGTCGTCCCTATGCCGGTTGCCATTGTCCTGGCTCTGGCAAATTTGCTCTTGGATTGAAACTCATCATTTTCTTCTTCTGGCAGGATACGCGCCCTCCAAATCTCAGACCTTCGAGCCAGACGGCTTTCTGGTCGCCATCAAATATCGTCCGACGGCAAACACCTCATTGATGGAGTCCCTTTTGGGAAGCCATTCCTGAAAAGACCTACGTCGTCAAGGCCGGCGATTACGATCCCTCCGAGAAAGAAACGACGCACTAGCGCTGCGGGCTGGGACTATGGATCACGCTACGAGGAGGAAGATACCGAATGGGCGCCGAATAATCAAGTGGGCTTTGCAAGAGAGCTTCCTGTGATCAGGTCGAATGAGCAGCCGCAGGAGAAGAGGGGTGATGAATACACGGACGCATATCAGGACGATTATGAAGATTACCACGAGCCTGAAGACGATGGTAATGGGACAGTCATCCGACATGCTATTGACGAGACACATGATCAAGCTTCGGAAAGTGACTCAGATGAATTAAACATCAACCCCGAAGACTTGGCAGAAGAGCTGAAGGGACTGGAGGAAGATCTGGAGATATCCCCTATGCCTATGGCGGAAGACATTGATGTTGAGCAAGCGGGCTATCCGCTGCGCTCCAGACCCAGTATCCATCAATCGGCCCCAAGAAAGAGCTCTCTTGCCCATCCATCTAGTCAAGAGTCTTCTATACCCGACGGTACTCGCAGGGATTCAAAGGCAGTGACATTTGAAGATCAGAAAGAAAATCCGTCTGTTGTGGAATCAAATACTACCGTTGCCAGCAAAGTCATCTCAATCCCAGAGGATGCTACGGGATCGGCTTCAGATACGAGCGATAGCTCATCCGCAAGCGATACGAGCGAGACCAGCGACTCTAGCGACTCAGAGGATTCCAGCAATGCAAGTGATTCATCTTCCGATGATGACTCCGGATCGGAGGCTTCTACATCTGATTCAGAAGAAGATTCAAGCTCTGACTCTGATGATGACATGTCCACGTCCGAATCGGAGGACGAGCTTTCGGACTCTGATGTAGATGTGCAGTTGCGCACGAAGACCAATCCTCCGGGAGCGGGCTCTCTGAGAACCAAGAAAAGCAATGAGCGTAACAAGATGCGACGCAGGTTAGCAAAACTGAAGGAGCTTGGTGCCCTGCCCGCACAGGCCGATTTTGCTGCTCTTCGTGACTGGGAAGAGGCCAATGGACGTTCATACTACATTCCTGAAGATAAACACGATTCCAAGGAACAAGAACGTGCGGAGTTTGAAGCAAAGCGACAGAAGCTACTCCGTGATCTTGCATCAGGGGGAGTCGATGTCACTGAGGTGAAGCAAAAGGAAATTGCTTCTCCACAGAGCGTCAAGGCTATCGACCAAAAACAGTCTGCAACCGATATTGCCAATGGTGAAGACGAAGCCGAGCCACTTTCCAAGCGGCGTACTCTTGATGTTGCCAGCTCCAGGAGAATGCTCTTTGGCTCACTGGGTGTGAGAACCCCACGGACCAAAGAAGACGAGGAAGCTACTCGGAGAAAGCTTGCAGGCAAGGTCAACAACCAGGTTCAACCTTCAAAGTCCCTGAAAGAAGACACGGTTAAAGCGCCTGAAAGCGATTCGGAAGAGAACTGGCAAGACAAGTTGATCCTCCGGGCTACCGAGTGTATCTATGACGATATTGAGCTGACCGCTCCGCCATTTCCCTTCGAGCAGCGCTGGGACGCTGAAGCTGGTGATATCATCAGGCAGCGCAAAGGTTGGGGCAAGAAGAGAAGACGGCGGCAGCAACTTCAAGTTTACGATGGGGACGAAGGATATGAAAATGGCGATTACGGCTATTCCGTGGGCGACTATTCCGTCGGCGATCTACAACTAAACTACGATGATGCCGAGCAACCGAATGGAGACATGGAAGGGGTGGAGCATGCTGCAGAGCAGCCCGTAGAGGAGCAATTTGAGGAACCGGCAGACGACCTCCCTGCTCTGCCCAACGACCCAGCCTCTCTACAGGACATGGGTGTGGATAGCTTGAAGAAGGGCTCGATCATTGCTTTCCGACAGCTGGAAATTTCCAAGGCTACGGGCTGGCAGCCCACGGTTTCGGGATACCGAGCCGCCAAGATCCACGAGGTCTTTGAACACGATATCATCAAAATCCGGTTAGCCAAGCGTGACCGACGAGAGGCACGGGATGACCAGGACTGGGATGAGGAGAATGATAGGCCGCAATACAGTGGATTTGAAATGCCCGGGATGGACGAAGAGGAGGACGACGGCTTCCGAGAGTTGTCATTTGCCGACCTGATTGAACCCAAGCTTCTCCGATCTGCTGACGCTGCAGGTCTTGGGAATGCTGGGAAATCCAGCATGTCAGTACACTAATTTCCTTACACTCGTCTGGCGTTCCTGCGCTCACCCGACCAAGCTCCCGTGCAACAGAGGAGCCCAGTCCAATCGAATCCGAAGACACACGCGGGTACGAGGACCGCCAGCCCCCAGTGCGAAACGTGGAAAGGGAAGGGACTATCTCCGATGAGAAGTTATTGAACCAAAAGCCTATTGACCACACGGAGGGTTCGGCCGTGCACTCTAGCCCCATCAAGTCACCGCATTTTGACGGGTTTCAGTCGCCTCCCGCGAACTTGACAACCGGGTCGAAAAGTAGCCATGAAGACCAGGTGTCCAGATCTACACCTCCGGCAGGACAGGACAGCGAGAATGGCCGGAACGGTCGACAGCCGGAGGATGCCCCCGAGATCAAGGACCCTCCATCGACCTTGCACTCGATGCTTCTCCCCGATGACGCCAATAACGGTGGTTCTGCAGCCAACGCGTCAGAAGACGATCTCCAAATGATCAGTAGCCCCGTGAGTATGATGTCTTTCAACTGCCTGATGGAAACGTACTTTCCCCCGGCGGTCAAGAGAGAGACATCCGCCGCGCCTGCTAAGGAAGAGCCTCGGTCGCCTTCCATCGTTCCCAATCCCTTCTACGAGATCGACAAGGCGGAGGAGGAACGACAGCGACGACAGGCGTCTCGCAAGGGGCGGCGCAGTAGCAATCCGGACGGTGGAAACGGGACGATGGAGCTCATGTCCCTAGCGGGATCGATGTCTCCCGTACCGAGACCATCTCCCCGAGTGAAATTACAAGCGGTGGAGGAACCGTCATCGATCAGCGTTGTCCCGGAGAGTGTGCCGCAGCCTTACCAAGACGATCCGGAGCCGTCACAGCGGTCTGAGGTGGTGGACCTGACACAATCGAGCCCGCCGGTGTCCCCGGGAGGTAGTGATGAAGACTATGCACGCTCACATCGACTTCCCCGAGGGTCCGGATGGGTACAGAAGAACATTCCTCGAACCTTACGGGTGACGCGACAATCACTGGGCCGACGAAGGAATGGAAGCAGGTGAGATGACAGTCAATGGTTTGGTCGGGAGTTGTACGGATGGATAGGTGGATGGGCGGATGTACATGCTGTTTGTAAATATGATGATCCCCTGCTGTGTATAATCCTTCCGGAGGATCCATGGGGTAATGCATGATGAGTTTCGTTTGTCGTAATGCTTTTCTTTCGGAAGTATCTACTGTGTACTCCGTAACTTGTTCTGAATCCATAGTGCTGAAGGTCCCCACCTGGGAGGTGGATGAGGCCCCACTCGCCCGGATCAGTCTGACAAAACACGAGTGCTGATTGGAGAAGAGGGGGCCATGGCAGCGACGTCATTGACGTGGGTTGATGGACGAACCGGGAAGGCACGACTTCAACATTGACAGGAAAGATGAAGGAAGGCGCAACTGGTGGTATGGTATTATGTTGTATCGGGTGTGTTTTGAGGGTCTGATTCCATGGCAGTTCCGTCGGAATGGGCGGGCTTCTTTATGTCATGGTCCTTAGGTGTATTACTACTACTATCTACTCTCTTCGAGTGACTTAACCGATAAATAAAGCTCCCCAATGGCCATGGCATCATAAGATCGATGTCTACTTACTATTAATACTTCAATTCTTGACTAGCTTGCTTACTTACTACTACTATTAGTAGTCACCTTTGCGTGCTTGTCCCCTTCCAATTAATACTACCTATCTCCCCTCATGCCCCGACCCCTCCTCCTCCCTAGTACTGCTGCTGCCCGTCAGAGCTTCTTCCTTCGTGCTTCAGCTCGTTGGTCCCCTCGCTGCCCCTCATCCTCCTCGATTCATTTTCCCTCTTCATCCGCCCGCATCCCCCTCCGCTGCTGTCGTTGCAGTTGTTGGAACTCGGCTCTCTGTCGCTGCTCCTGCTGTGCTCACCCCACTTCGGCTTCTTCTAGATCTTTCACTACTTTATCCTTCTCTATTAATAAATTAAACCCCTCCTCTCTCCCCATCCATCCCTCCTTACGAGCATCATCCCTACGTGCACCCTTCTCCACCAATTCCCTCAAAATGGCCCAGGACTACAAACTCAAGGACATCACGTCCCTGGCGGACGTCAAGGACATGGACAAGGTCGAGTGTGAAGTCGACGGTATTCAGGATGGCAAGGTCCTCTTGGTTAGGTATAATGGTCAGGTTCACGCTATGACCCCTAAATGTACCCACTATGGTGCTCCTTTGAAGTTGGGTGTCGTGGCTCCTGAGGGGAGGATTACTTGTCCTTGGCATGGTGGTATGTTATTATTCTTACTGTTTTATTGTTGATACCCTTTGGGTATAGATGAGGATAAAGAGTTAACGTCGATGTGGTATAGCTTGCTTTAATGTCGAAACTGGTGATGTTGAGGATGCGCCGGCCCCGAATGCGTTGAAGAAGTTCGAGGTGTTTGAGAAGAATGGCGCTGTTTATATCAATGCCAATGAAGCCGATGTTAAGGCGGCTCAGAGGGATCCTGCTGTCAAGTGCAGTGCTTCGCAGCAGGAGAAGTTGGTCGTTGTTGGCGGGTAAGTCCAGTCATTTGAGTAAGTTAGGGTCAGATGTTAATGGAGCGCCTACAGTGGAAGTGGTACCTTTGGTGTGGTCCAGGCGATCCGTGAAATGAAGTACAAGGGTGCCATCACTGTCATCACCCGCGAACCGAACCTCATTATTGATCGTACGAAGCTGTCCAAGGCGCTGATTGCGGATGCTGCTAAGATCCAGTGGCGGCCTGAGGAGTGGTACAAGGAAGCTTCTATTGAGGTCGCCCATGATGATGTGACGGGCGTTGATTTCCAGAAGAAGACGGTGACTACTAAGTCTGGCAAGTCGTACCCTTACACCAAGCTGGTCCTTGCGACAGGAGGTGTGCCGCGCACCCTCCCTCTGGAAGGCTTCAAGGACCTTGGAAACATCTTCGTGCTCCGCACCATTCCGGACGTGCAGGCCATTCACCAGGCACTGGGCGAGCAGAAGAACAAGAAGGTCGTTGTCATTGGCAGCTCTTTCATTGGTATGGAGGTGGGCAACTGCCTTGCCAAGGAGAACGACGTCACCATCGTCGGCATGGAGAAGGCCCCAATGGAGCGTGTAATGGGCGAGCAGGTCGGCCGCATCTTCCAGGGTAACCTGGAGAAGGCGGGCGTCAAGTTCAAGCTCTCCGCCAGCGTGGACAAGGCAACTCCCTCCAGCAGCGATTCCAGCAAGGTCGGCGCAGTCCACCTGAAAGACGGCACCGTGCTTCCAGCTGACTTGGTCATCCTCGGAGTGGGAGTGCGTCCCGCGACTGACTTCCTTCAAGGCAACCCATCCGTTACCCTCGAGGAGGATGGGTCCATCAAGACCAATGAGCACTTTGCGGTCCCCGGACTGAACGACGACGTCTTTGCTATCGGTGATATCGCCACCTACCCGTACCACGGGCCAGGAGCAGACCAGGACAAGGGCACATACACCCGTATCGAGCACTGGAACGTGGCCCAAAACGCCGGACGCGGAGTAGCACGCGCAATTGTCCACAGCGGATCATTGCAATCCCTCAAGCCCAAGGCGTTCATCCCCATCTTCTGGTCCGCCCTGGGTGCCCAGCTTCGCTACTGCGGAAGCACTGTGGGTGGATGGGACGACCTGGTGATGAAGGGAGAGCCCGAGAACGCCAAGTTCGCTGCGTATTACTGCAAGGGAGACACGGTGGTGGCCGTTGCTACGATGGGTATGGACCCGGTGATGGTCAAGAGTGCCGAACTGATGCGGCGGAAGAACATGCCGACCAAGTCGCAGATCCAGAGTGGTGTGGATGTGTTGACTGTGGGTGTGCCTGAGTCTGTGAGGATCTAGTTGTATTTAATTGGCCATGATAATGAATCTATTGCAATGAAAGACGAGTATTTATAGTTCATAACGTAACTATATGATATATATACTTCGTAGCTTCAGAGTAACCCGTAGTATCCTAGCACCCAACTATGACTACTGTCTTTCCAACTGGTATTTGAACATCATACGCCTATTAGTATTATTTGAGAGCCCGAAATACATTGGCATAGATGTCTTAGACCAAGCAGCCTCTTGCAATGCGCATGGCTTCATGATTCCTCTTCTCTAACCCCTCAGAAGTACTCCAGCCTTGATATATCATCAACGACAACAACATGACAGGCATAAAATCAGATAAACCAAATCTTTTTGATATTCCCATCTAACGCCAACCACAAACAAAGCTGAATACGATACACACACACATACACAAAAAAAAGAAAGAAAAGAAAAGAGAAATACTATATAACATGCACACATACTTATAAACAAGTCAAGTTATTCCACCTCCCACCCCATCCTACTCTTATCATTCAATCAACACTTACTCCCTAGACTTCTCCTTCTTCGAAGACTTGGACTTCTTCTCTTTCTTCTCCTTCTTCTCCTTCGACGAAGACTTCTTCACCTTACTAGGCGACTCCTCCACATGCACATCCACCACCTCCGGCTCCAGCTCCGGCGCCACCGACGCAGAAGCAGACCGAATGGCCAAAGCACCAGACATGGTCGTCACTGAGCCTAGTTTTCTGGGTGTCATGCCGGTAGATCCACTACCACCACCGTAGGAGCTAGAAGAAGCAGAAGAAGAAACTACACCCGTCCTCTCCTCCTCCAGAACCCTCTTCTCCTCCTCCTCATCCAGCATCGTACCCTCAATGCTCAGGAATCCGCTCTCCCGCTCCGACCCAGGAATCACATCCACATCCACGACCCGGAACTTGATCGTGCCGCGCACACGGTGGCCAGACACCGACTGGAAGTATCCTTCTGCGGCGGCGGTTTCGTCGTCGTCGTAGTCGCCTGTGGTATTGTCGTTGGTAGAGGTGGAAGTAGGATCCGTATCAGCGAGAGGGTTTACATCCTCGGCGAGGGCGATGGGACGGAAAAGTTCCTTGGCGGGGTCGAAGGCAGATTTATTCTTCTGTCCTTCGGAGGTGGAGGAGGAGTCGCTGTCTTCATTGTCGTTGTTGTCCTCCTGTTCTGTAGCGGAGGTGGTGGATGTCTGCTGCTGCTGCTCTTCTTCCAATTCCTCGCCGGGAGGAATCCACTTCCAGCTCGGGGGTAGACGTTTCCGCTCAATGCCTACGGAGAACAGGTTCAGGACAATGGCGCCCAGGAAACCTTCCGATTGCACGTTCACCCATCCTTCGAGGATCTGGCCGCGCTGGGGCCGGAATACAAGGAAGGTCGCCGTGAGGTAGACGTACAGGACGCCGTATTCGCCGGCGGTGCGGGCGAGAGTCAGTGGTTGCGGGAGGTTGGGGTCTTCGGCGTTGACGATGTTGGTGGATGAGGGCGGCGGGGTGCTGGAGATTGAGGCATTGGAGTAGGCGAGGACGATGCCTTTCAGGGGGGCGTAGTAGGTGAGGAGGAGCGGGGAGAGGTGCTCTGCTAGCAGGGAGGCTAGGGCGTGGGTTGGAGAGATGGAGATCGGAGAGAGTGGGAGGTAGAGCGTTGCGGTGGTGAGGGTGTAGGGGGAGTCGGGGGTCGTGGGTTTGCTAGTACTGGTGTTGGTGCTGGTCTTGGACTGGGATTTCTTGCTGCTCTTCTTGCTGCTGGTGGCATCGCTTTCGTGCTTGCGCTTCTTCTTGCTGGGTGATGTGGTGTCCTTGTGTTTGCGCTTGCGGTCTTTTTCGGGCGAGGATTGTCTGGCTGGCCCTGTCGGGTGGGGGTCGAGGTCCATTGCGTCGAGGGCCATTGTGTCGATTGGGGAGGGGGTATTGGCGGCGCAATGGAGGGCAGGTTGTGTTGATTGATTTGATGCCGGTAGAACTCGATGCCTTTTTTTTTCCCTCTTGACTTTTTTTTTTTTCTTTTCGGATTTGCGAGTGGAGGCGGGCGGTGGGGTGGGCGGTGAGGCGGGCTTCTATCCGGAGTGGGTGTTTAGTTGGAGGCATAGAGATAGACAGACAGCTTCTGGACCAGCATTTTGGTCGTTTTCGCTCTTTGGTACTGTTGGTATTTGGTTACTGGTTTGATGGAGGCTTGAATATTGTCTGTTCTGTTGAGATATCATCCCGCCCATGTCGTCGCTTCTCTCTTTCTTCGGTTGGGCTGTCCTCCCAAACGTGAGTACCGTGTCCATTCCCTCCGCAGTTCTATAAGCGCCGTGTTGCGCAGTACGAAATACACAGTCGTTAACAACACTCGCATCAGTACGTCACCTCCATTGTCCAGAGCGTCTACTATGGCATCACCATCCGTGCAGGCGAACCCCGCCCTCAGCCCGGCACTCCGCGCTATGCGCGACACCGCCGGCGCATCTACATCCTCGTCGTGACCAGCTACCTCCTCTACACTCTCTACGAGACCTTCCATCGCGTACAAGTCGCAGGCGACTTCTACCGCGCCCTGGGGGTCTCTCCATTTGCCGATGAACGCACTATCAAGTCGCGCTTCCGTCGTCTGGCTGCCCAGCACCACCCAGATAAGGCCGGCGGCGCCGTGTCCGACAGCTACTTTGTGTATCTGCGACTGGCGCAGGATACGCTCCTCGACCCTGTAAAGCGGGTCGCGTATGATATGTACGGCCCGGACATGTTGAATTGGGGCGATAAGAGGACCCTGCAGGAGTTTGTGATGGCTGGGTTGCAGCGGTCCCTGCCGCAGTATGTGATCGGGTTGGTTACTATTGTGGTGCTGCAGTTTACGTATTGGTCGGAGTGGGGGCGCTATGTGAGTTTGCTCATTTCCTTTCTCTTTCCTGAAATGCGGTTCTTCGACTTGGGCTTGGGTTGTATGGTGGCTAACGGTGGATGCTTCGTCTAGTGGCGCTACTTCACCTTCGCTGCGCTGGTTACCCTCGAGTCGATCCTACTTACACGTCCTACGGCATTACTACTCCCGTGGAGCTATATCCCCGCCGGATTGCAGGGTTTGCTGGGATTCTCGTCCAAGGGCCCCGAGTTTTATCTCCTGCCGTTTCAGATCCTGACGCTGGCCCAGCGTGCCTCGGTCACTCTGCACATCTTCATCTCGCAGGTCACGCCGCCGGAGATTAGTAAACGGGCGTCGTCTGCCCCGGGCGATCGTCTGCATCCGCAGACCATGCAGAAACTGGGTCAGCTGGCGCAGCTCTCCCGGGCGACGGATGGCGAAGCGACTCGGCTGCTGCAGTTGGGGTTTGCGCCGTTCAAGGGTGATCGTGAGGGCGTGACGGCGCTGCGGAAGGGCATGAAGGAGGCGCTGGTGCTGGGCAGTGTTCGGGCTAGTCCGGGAGTGCAGCAGGCGGTTGGGGAGGTGATTCGACGGAAGAAACAGGGAAAGGCGGATTGAAGTGATGAAGTGAGGTAGATTGAAGATATTGTATTTTCTTTTTGATAGTAAAATAAATCTTTCTTAGTTGAATATATATTCAGTTCGAATGGAGTGATGCAATAGTAGTATGATTGTTGGTATTACTCCCTACATTCACCCGGTAGATTAATCAGAACGATGGTGGTGTCGATCTTACACAATAGTAGTGAATTAAATGTCCGGCTTAGAATTCAGCCATGAGGCGATCAAAATGATTAGCATCCTTATTGGCAGTTGCCGCGGTGAATGCGTGGCCTGTTTCACTCTCAGCAATCTAGCCTATACATACTGTAGACAATGGACGTAGACATGTAGATACTATGTATATATATACGTGTGTCATTATTGTCAGACTCTCTAGTCTAGTAATAACATCTATTCCAAGACTGTGAACAGATAAATGTCAAAGATAGTTGACCATGGAATGGATTATGGCCAAGGCAAGGCAGCCTGGCCGATCGGGGCCAGATATGCTGGTTCACAGTTGAGGGATTTCATGGATTGAATCAAACCCTTTAGTGCAGCGGTTGTTGTTACTAGTTGGTTGGTTGGTCGATTGATTGATTGATTGCTCCGAGCTTCCACCCTTCTCACCCCCTCTTTTCTTTCCCTTGCACTTTTGTAGTAACTGAACCCCCCTGGATAGTGGCATTTCAGTGTACTACTCCGGGATCCTTGTTAACTAGATACTTGGCTGGAGGAGGGGGAAAATATGTAGCTAGATGTTACTAGTAAGCATAGTTGTTAGTTACTAGTAGTAGATAGGTCAGTTGGTCTCTCTAATCCAAAGGAAAAGTCGAGTCATCTATGAAATTTATTGTTATTCCTTCCTTCCATTTCCAAGATTTGGTTTCCTTCTCTCGTCTTCTATCATGTACTGTTCATTCTTGGAAATAAGACTCAGCTGATGCACGATGCATGGGTTTTTTTAGTTCCAAAGTATGTATGTATCTTAGTATCCTGCATCAGGTGTGCAAACGGATGGATCGATTGATCATCCAGAGTAAATAAAACTAAATTTGTTAAGTTAAAATTGATTTTTTGAACGCTTACGAATTAATGGGAAAAATTTAGTTCCAAAGTGAAGGAAAGGGAAAGGGAATAAGAGGGAAGGAAAGCCGGAAGCGGCTGCGGTTCGTTCGTTCTTTTTTGACCCAAAAGTCTAAGCCGGCGCCAGGCGGGACGGGCGATCCATCTTTTTTTTTTTTTTTCCCATTCCCTTTCCTTCATTTCATTTTTCTCATTTTCGTGATAGGAGAAGAGAGAACGAGAGAGGGACGAAGTGAGTGGGAGAGAGATTGGAGGGCCGGACTGGGAAGAACACGGATGAGAGAATGTGGCTGGTAGTGAATGAAAGGGATTCTTGTATTCTGTTGGAGTTGTTATTTATATGGGTATTGTTGTATTGTTGGTCTATTGATTGGTATCAGTGTATTCAAATAGTAGTTTAAGAAGTGAATAGCTGTAGTCATAACTCTCATAGAGAAATTGCAGTTCATGGTTTTCATGGTTCTGAATGAAGGCATTCATACGGACATACGGCTCCGGATAGTGCAGGAGATGATGTGATGCGCGTGGTATGGTACTGGTAACCGTCCAAATGGGGGTGTTTTTGACTTGTTTCTGACCAGACAGGAACCGTTCTGTTGCTGGGTGTAGAGAAGCAACTTGGCTAGCTGCCACCGCAGTAAAGTGCTTATCTACTAGAGAACAAGACGCGTATCAGACGGTATGAAGACGCGGCGGTAACGCGCCGGACCCAGTAAAATGGGGGGATGTCTCCGTAAAGTACTCCGTTCCGTAAGGAAGTAAGTACGGAAAGGGCGGGCGGCGAAAGGGCAAGTCAGTAGGCAGTCGGAACTGACCTTCAGCTTCTCTCCTGGACTGACCGCACCAGAAAAGTCTGGCTTGTCGTTCCCTAGACGAGGAGCGTGAGAAACACACACACACCACAATGAAACCACCACTCGGCGCCTCGACATCCCCATCCATCCCTTTCTTCCCTTCCCCGTCTCCCTCCTTCTCTTCTCCTCTCCCTCCTTCCATCTTCCTTCCCCATCACCATCATCATCCTCACCCTCAACTCCACCTACACCACCACCGCCCTATCCTCACCACCGGAGTATGTCACCAGCGCCTCACGTCCACTGCCTCCCTCTTCAGCCCTGCCAGACTTTCGCCTCTCTCTGACCGAGTCTCGCCGCCGCCCACGACTAACACCACCACCATTCATCCGGTTCCCTTCCATCCCACCAACCAATCCCTCAACACCCACGTCACGATCGTCACTTAATTCTTCCACCTCCTCGCCCCAACTCAGTCTTGCGGCTTTATTAATCCTCACCCACCTCACCTTCGCCTACGTTTGGCTGTGGTCTCTGCCTAAACAACCCGATCGGGGGGTCCCTTCTCATCTTACTCTCCTCCCAACTCCTCTTCGCATCATCTGAAGGGGCAACCCAAACTATCTCATCAACTCCAACAATCTCGACGTCGAGACGATCCACCATGCCGGCCGCCAGCTCTGCCAGCTCCACCGCAAACGGTCGCTCCAGCCGATCTGGACCCTCCAAAAGGATTGTTGTCCTCAAGCTGTCTACCGATCTGCTGAGCCAGTTCGTGACACCACCGCCCGAGGGAAAGGACAAGAAGAGCAAACGGGGTAGCGTCAGCAACACCGACTCGCCCGTCAAGATTCAGGAGCCTTCGTCCCCGGCTTCCTCGTCCGCCGAACCACCTCTCCCTCCTTCGTCCGTGGACAATGCCTCCGATGCTGCGTCCACCCCCGCCGCAGGCACCTCGGCTGCAGACACACCTCGCCGCAAGGGCGTTCCAGGCCCTAAGCCGGGCACCAAACGAGGCCTCAACCAGACGGGCGAGACCACCCCGAAGCCGAGAGGCAAGCCAGGTCCCAAGAAGAAGCCCCGACTGTATGTTCCCCAGTCCGATCAATTGGTTATGGAGCATTTGCTAACTGCCTCTTAGTGATGACGGCACTGTCGACACTGCCAAGTTGGTGGCCGCTCACAAGCTCGGTCCCAAGGCTAACTTGGGTGCCATCAATGCTGGTCTACGCGCTCTAGATCGCACTGGGGCCCCATGCCGTCGCTGGGAGCGTAAGCCTCTTCAGCTCAAGAGCTTTACCGGTATCCAATGGATGCTGCCTTCTTGGCGTACTCCCCGTCCATTGAAGTCCGAGGAGAACGACGAGGCTCAGGGCATAGCTCTTGAGACTGGCGACAGCGACAGCAAGGCCAACCAGAGTGCCAGTGGCGTCCCCAGCGAGAAGAGCACTGGTGATGGTGAGCTTACTCCCGCTCCGCCCAACCTGACGGAAGCGTCTTCTCCTGCCATCGCCATGACTGCTTGAAGAATCATGCAACGGCCATTGCTTCCTCCACCAACGACATATTGTCCTTCCTGTACATTACTTTTTGACACACTACTACCTTTATTCCTTCGATGTTTCTGGTGATGGCTTTTCTGTTTCTGCACTTGCGTGTTACTCGGGTTGGCGTTGGGTTTGACGGTTACCGGACTTTATCAGCGCTTCACTCGCATGAGAGACGTATTTGAGGCTCTGGCATGGGGACGTGGCGGTGCACCCTGCACATTCATGGGCTCTTTTCTCTGTGAGCTGCTTGCTTGCTTTCACTGCTCGGTTTGATTTTACTATTTACCACTGTTCTGTATCAGTAGAGATTTCGCTTATGGGCTTGGACAAGGGGTTGAGGGAATTTTCTTCTTTTCGGCGATTGGCCGCATATTCGAGACACGAATACCAAAATGGACTGGAATGGCAGCATTGTCTGCGTTGTCCCACATGGAATTGAAGGCCGATTGTGCACCTGAAGGGCCGCACGTGCTCACTATATTCATCTAGACTAGTAGCTGTCTTATGTCCGTAGATAACCGGAGGAACCATCATTCCATGACTGCCCGCTAGGAGAGCCTTCTTCTCTAGGCTACGATCAAGGGATGCTTGCCTCCGTCATTGCACTGTGGGATATATTTAGGTGATACAATGTGGCAGGAGCCGATGTTACATCCACGACGCCTAAAAAGCAAAGACGGGGGAGATTTCCGGTAGCCAAGACTGTCAGCATTCGTCGTGCTGCCCCCATCACCTCTACATACAGTAGAGCAATAGACTTCGTATCCTAGCTACAGAGTGGGTATCTACTATACTGTATACTTACTGACGAATTCCCTAGTCCAAGGATGCTCCCGGACGAAGGAAGAATCGTGGGTTGGACCGTCCCGGGGTGTGTTTCCCCCCCCCCATGGCGCCAGAGCCGGGGGTGATACACAACCCTGGCATCATAGTCCCGCCCAGTTCTAGTCTAGACATACCAACATTTGACATCAAGAAAGAGTCTCTCCCCACAATCCGCCCCATGGATAGGTAGAAAGGGAACGGGGAAATAAGTAAGTGCTCAGCAGGTTGTCATTCCTGTTGGACCATAACGGATGATGAATGAATGAATGCAAGGGCAGGGGGGAAGAAACGCGGGGAGAGAGAGGGAGGGGGAATTCTTTCCCCCCTTCTCCTCATTTCTGACAAGGAGCTAAACTAAGAGTAAATAATACCCGGGGATATGTTGTATGTATGCCTACCGGTCCTGTCTTTTTGTGCTTTCTCTGTGGCAGGATGATCATGATCATAAGGAAGAAGAAGAAGAGGAGAAGGAGACAGAAGCCGAAGTCTTGCCCTTCTTCCCCGCAGTTTTCTTTCTCATTTGTATTAATAGGATTGTTCTATTAGTGATGATAATAATAATTTAATATGAACTATGGCTCGGGTCAGGCCATCCGTCATGTTTCTGTCTGTCATACTAAAAGACTGACTGTTTCTACTTTTCTCCTTGGGTCACGCGAGGTGTGCCCTTTTGGTCATTCACTGCACGCGGTTCTGGTCCTTCTCTTTTTTTCCCCGTCTCGAGGATTTCGTTCTTTTGTTTTTCTTTTTTTGTTTTCACTTTGGTTTTGTGCTGGTATTTCTGCTTGTGTTGATGTGAGTGAGCACGAAGCGCGTTTCTGGATTGATCGTTGGCTTCATGTATGTATCTCTCTCTCTCTCTCTCTCTTTCGTCTTCTACTACGTACTACTATCGATCAGCCCTTTAGGGGGAGAGTTATGTTGCTCCACTTACGCTCCCCGGTTACGGAAGTGCCCCAGAACTAACTAATACTCCACGAGACAGTGAGCCAAAGCCAGACCCGCGAGCAACGGGGAAAACGACAAAGAACGAGGGAAGTTCTGGTGCAGAGTATAACTGCTGATCAGCAAGGAACAAATAAAAAAAAAGGGGACGAGCGAACAGAAATTCATCACAATTCACGGTGCAGATACAAATGGTACGAATGAAAGACATTATTTGAAAGTACTGGCTAAGTAAACTAACAGAGCAAGCGTTAAGTTAGTACCCGGCAGCAGCAGCAGCAGCAGAAGCAGCAGCAGCAGCCATGACTGACGCATCGTTTCCCCCTTCCGGTGGAGCTCCACGAGCAGCTGCTGCTCTCACTACCTCAACTACTACTGCCTCCACTACTGCCCCTACTACTACCACCACTACCACCACCTCCTCCTCCACTCCTTCGACTTACAACTACTACTCCAACGTCCCCAGTATCTCCTCCATCCCCCGTCGTTCTTCTTACGCTTCAGTGCTGTCGGGGACCGCCGCTCTCTCCCCTCCCACCTTTAGCAATCATCCTTTCTCGCCCTTCTCCCCCTCCTCCCTCTCCACCTCCACCGCCTCGTATCCCCCGCCGCCGCCTTTCTCTCCCGAAGCCCGCCTGCTGAGGCCATCCGCCGCCGTGGATGCCGAGATGCAAATGAACTCCTCATGGAGGTCGTCGCCCGGCGATTCGCTTCCTCCTTACTCTCGGAAGTTTGCCAACCTCGCCCGCTTTGACCCTTGCTATCACAATCCGGGTGCATTCACCGACTCGCCCACACCCTCCTTCACCCCCTCATATCTCCAAAACTCCCGCTATGTCTCCCGTCTCGATGCCGCCCGTCGGGCAAAGCATGCAGCCCAGCGCGATGGCGCCATTCCCCCCTCCACCTCGAATAACCTCTCCACTTCCTCCAGCCAGGCTAGCTTGCCCCGGATTGCACCCTCCCATCGGGGCATGACCTATGATATCATCGAAAGAGAACCCCCCAGCGACGACGACCATCTGCTACCACTCCCCTCCCGATGGAGCGACGACGATAAATTCACCGGCCTGGAGCTTGGAAATGGAGGGTTGGAAGTCCGATACACTGGTCCGGTCAACAAGCATGAACATGAGGCTGCTGCCGTTCGGGCAGATAATCCCATGCCCCCGCAGTGCGGGATCTACTACTTTGAGATCACCATCTTATCCAAACCCAAAGAGGGGTACGCGGAGGCCACTCTATACCCGTATTGTTCATCAGAGTGCTGACTGGGAACATAGCATGATCGGAATCGGATTCTCGAGCAAGAAAGCCTCGGTAGAACGGCTGCCCGGATGGGAACAGGAATCATGGGCTTACCATGGCGATGATGGGAAGTCCTTTTTCGGAGAAAGTCAGGGGCAGGGACGACAGTACGGTCCGACGTTTGGGGCTAATGACACTGTGGGATGTGGTGTAAATTTTTCCACAGGGTGTGCTTTCTTCACCAAGAATGGCGTGTTCTTAGGTACCTCCACGCTGGCTGCCTCACAATGGCGATAGTATTACCTCAGCTAACCACGACCAGGAAATGCATTCCGGGAACTACGAAACCTAAAGGTCTACCCGTCGGTGGGCATGAAGAAGCAACCGCCCGTCCACTTGGTAGTGAACTTTGGGCAGCAGCCCTTCATGTTTGATATCGATGACATGGTCAAGGTAAGCCAACCCACTCGCTATTCTTATATGAGTTGTAATGTAGCTAATAGTTCTGGACAGAAAGAAAAGTCGTTGATTCATTCGGAGATTGCTCTGACCAGCACGGCCAATCTGCAACCCCCGTTGGATGAATCGGGCCTGCTGCAGGAGTTGGTGGCGCAGTTTCTTGCGCATGACGGCTATGTCGAGACCGCCCGCGCGTTTGCCGAAGAGGTAGCGGCAGAGTCGACGGCGTTGGAGAACGGTCGACAGGCACCGTTGAAGAAGTACGAGGTGGAGGAAGATGTCGAAGCCATCAACCGGCAGAGTATGACTGTCTAAACTCTTGTAGTTGTTGTTTTTTTACTGATTGACGACAGAGATCCGCGCGGCTATCTTGGAAGGCGATATCGACAAGGCACTCAAGTATACTAATGCCTACTACGCGAACGTATTGCAGACCTACCCGCAGATCCACTTCAAGCTACGATGCCGCAAATTCCTGGAGATGATGCGTCGGTGCAACGAGTCGTCGCCGTCGCCATCGAAGCGCGGCAAGTCGTCGAATGGGTTGTCGGACAGCAGCGCAGTGTTTGACCAGGAGATGGAGTTGGACGAGCAGCTACAGGAAGGTGATGGCTACGAGGCGGACGGCATGGACATGGAGGAGACGGAGAGCACAGCGCGATCGAACGAGCTACTCACGGAGGCGGTGCAGTACGGGCAGCAATTGTTCCTGGACTATCCACCAGAGGAGCGGGGTGGGGATCGGAAGATGCTGGACGACATCTTTTCCCTAGTGGCCTACCAAGACGCGCGACGGTCAGTGCATGGCCACTACCTGGACCCTGCGGGACGCATTGCCGTGGCGGAAGAGTTGAACTCGGCCATTCTCGGTATGTTAATTGAAAAACTACTGCTAATAGTTCAGTTACTAATGGAAAGCAGTGTCGCTGGGTAAATCCTCATCGGCCGCGCTGGAGCGACTTTACCAACAGACCGAAGTGCTGGTGAATGAGATTAGCGAGGAGGGCGGCGCCGGGGCGTTTATTAATGTGCGTAATGACTTTCTACTTTGAGCGGGCGATCTGGGTAGTCTCGGGAGTATTTTATGTGAACGGTTTGATTACATGTGGCATGTGAAGAAAGACTGTGTACCTGCATCTCATGATGGATTGATTGCAGCAGGGGTTTGAGTTCTTGGGGGGAGGGGATGGCTATGCCTCTTTTCCTTTCTCTCCCTTCCGAGGGAGAGAAGGGAAAAAAAGGGCGCTGTAGGTAGTAGTACATACGACAGCAGACAGTGTAGGGAATAGCGGAATATGCAAATGCACACCGGTCCACTCTCTGGGCTTTCCGATGAAGAAGACGAGGCTGATGCTGATGCTGATGATGAAACGAGCGAGGAAAGGATGGAATTGGGCGACCGGATGGAGCAGTGGATGGAGACAGGACCAGCTGGCACGGGATGCTGCATCCATCAGGCACCGACCAGCCTCCCTGGTTTGCCTTGCTTGCTTTGCTTGCTGCGTATCATTTTCATCGGGGAGTGGAGTCTGTTCCGAATCAGATCGGGGGAAAGGAACAAACAATTGTCAGTGCATTATTCAGAAATGAGTTATTTTTATCTTCATGTGAGTGTCCAGAGAAATTCTCCAATATCTCCCATATGTTGATACTCATAGTAGATGATTGGTGTAGATGGAAACTACGTTATGAGAGTGTGTTGTATCAGGATGTAAGCCTGTACTGTCCGTAATGGCAGTACCGATAAACTTCGCTGCCGTGGGTAACTTTTCCCCGATCGAGCCAATCAGCTGCCCTAAATCACAGCTGTCCGCCTTGATTACATCTTTTTGTGTTTTGTTCGACATCATCGACTGGGCAAAATGCATTATTTACGCTTTACTTATTCTTCTTCCAGTGAAAGTCATTCCATCCCATCAATTCAATCCAATTCTTCCCCCCGGTCGTGCATATCGGCCATTGGACCTGCAGGATTCGGTCTCTGCATTCTTCCTAGGCCCGACAGGGCCCTTAGTTTCTTGCCTCGGATTCTTTTCCTCCTTTTTCCCCTAAATCATAATTAGTTAACTAAGTTAGTGACTGGTTTGTGTCTGAAGCAAAGACACCATCTCCACTTCAGCGCCTAAAATTAATCTCTCACACTCTCTCCTCTATCTCTCACTGACTGCCTCTCTGGTCTCTCGATGAACTGGCGTCTCCAGTCCAGCTCATCGCTCCGACTAGTAGGGGTGCCAACTCACCTTCTGCTTCAACTTCCTCCACCTGTTCCGAAGAATCCTGCTGCTACTGCCGCTGCTACTTTCCCTCCCAGCCATGGATTCCGATCCACCAGCCGCTAATCATTTGCCCTGCATTCCCTCCCACGCGGCCACCAGTTCCTCTTCTGCCTCTCCCCGTTGCTGCTGTGGCCGCGATGACTGCGCATTCTTGCTTCATAATCATGTCGCCTTGGAGGGGCTCGAAAAGGATTTGGCAACTGCCGCGAGGCTGGGCCAGGTACGTTAGTTAGTCTACTTTTTTTTTTTTTATCGTCTCTTACGCTTTCCTTCTCCCCGTGCTTTTCCGTCGGTGGATTAATTGCATTATTCATTTTGCATTTTAAACTTCGCTCGTTGGATGGTTCGCCGACGTCACCCTGGTTTTCCCGGCCGCGGGGGAGTTCTAGTCGTACAACCGGCCTCTTACTTCCCTGCTGTATAAGGATGACCGGCCAGGGATCTTGCCTTGCCTTGGTTTCTCGTTTCTGCATGTCTGCCCATTGGCTTTTATTTAACCGTTTCATCGTGTTGCGTGACGCCCCTCTTATATCTATATCTATCTATCTATCTATATCCTTATACTCTCTCTCCTGTATACCCGCCCACCCACTCACATACTTCTGTCGGGCTGCACATACTTCTTGTCTACCCGCACATTTTTGTTACCTTTTTTGGATGGATCGGTGCCCACCGTTGGAATTTGATCATCGCTCGGGCTCGCGAAGATGAATGCAATAGATTGCAGTCGATCGGGAGATGCCTTCGTGGCTTCCTCGCCGCCATCATCACCACCATCCTCCATGCTGGCGTCATCCCCAGTACTCTCCCATTGCGTTTTTGTCCGTCATGACTGTTTTTCCAGATAAAGCTGCCATGGCGGCAGCTACTAGCAGCTCATCATCGCTAACCTTTGCTCTCCAGGCTCTACTCCACCGTCATGAATCCTACATGGCCGAGGCGGAAGAGGACCGCCATCGGTTACTCGTCAGCATTGAGAATTTAGAACGCGAAAAGCGGGAAGTCCAGGCTGAGAATGCCCGCATCATTGAAGAGAATCGCGGCCTGCTAGAGCAGCTCGATGGCCTCAACAAGGCCGTTGCCGAGTCTGACTCCCACTCCAAGTCGCTAGAAACCCGCCTCGAGAGCACCGAGGCGGAGCTGCGCAAACTCACGCACTCAGCGGCTCGCGCCGCCGATCTCGAAGCGCAACTGGCGCAAATGGAAGCGGAACAATCCAAGCTGCAGGAGAGCCTGCAGTCCGCACAGGAGTACTCCAAGTCGGCCGTCCAGCGATGGCGCCAAGCTGAATGTACCTTGCGGGACCTGCACGATCAGGTGGATCGCATCGAGAAGGAAGCCCGTGAGGAACGGGACCGACATGCGGAGCTGGTTCAACGCATGGAACGGCGGCGGACCGTGGAACGGGAGCTTGATGGCGCCGCTGGTCGACTGAAGGGTGCCGCAGCGGCCCAGGAGTTGGGCCGTAATCGCGGCGGCGCAACGGTGGTATCCCGCTTCGTCCGAGACATCCTACAAGACAATGCCAACCTACAGATGGGGATCATGGAGTTGCGGGAGATGCTAGAAAGCTCCAACCAGGAAGTCGAGAATCTGCGGGATCAGGTTCTGTCGCACCAGCCGTTGGGGCCCGAAGACCAGGAGATCCGGCCGTCCACGACCCTCAGTCAGGAACTGGAGTCGAAAGAGTCGCGCCGGGTGTCGCAGGAATTCCACATCCATCACCACTATCACTCACCGGCCATCAAGAAGGAGCGGGGGTCACTCTTTCGTCGCAACAAGAAGAGACGCTCCCTTGGCAGTGCGACGGTGCTACACTCGGCTGCAGGAACACCCCTCCCTCTCAGACCAAACCACCGCTCCAAACCCTCGACTTCCTCCGCTTCCACGATCCTTTCGCAAACCTCCGTCTCTATTCCTCCGACGGTTCCTCACCGTTGGTCTGTGCAGTCGCCTGCGACGGAATCGATGGCCAGCTCCCCACAGTCGGCATACCAGCCGTCGTCCATCTTCGACCGGGTAGACCGCGGGTTCGATTCCTCCCAACCGACAAGCCCTGACAGCACGGTCTTCTCTTCGCCACTGCGAAACGGCCGGTTCAAAAAGGCGCAGATCGATGCGGCATATCGCTCGCTGGATGGCGATGGAGTGTCAATCCCAGGCATTGACGACGAACTGGTTCATGACTATTTCCAGCGTCGCAGCAGCGCCGAATATGCAGGCAGAGCCCCGATGCAGTCCGTCATTCCGGAGGAGAGGGAAGATGGGCGATCGACAAACTATACCGAATCCGAGCGGGGTGCCTCTCCTGCCGTTCAGGAGGGCATGTTCTCCACGCCCTATCGCGGCCCCCGCCACAGCGCCTCCCATGAAAGTCTCTTTTCCGTGGCTGGCATGGACATCCACACGCCCAGCCGTCGTCCCTCGCGACTGAGCGACCTCCACTCCAGTGCTGTCCCGGTCCGCATTCCCCGCCGGATCATGTCTTCCAGGGCCGATCTGTTCCCCACGCCTCCCGTCATCTCTCCCAGTATCGTCACAGCGGGCAGCGAGCTGGCGATGATAACCGACCAAAGCTCGCAAACACTCCTTGCCTCAGTGGCCGGCAGTCGCAGTCAAACCCCGGTTGAGAACGACACCGAAGACACAACCACCTCATCCCGCAAATTCTCCTTGGGCCGACGCGTGGGCGGCTGGGTCCGCGGACACTGGGGCACGGCGCCCACCTCGTCCGACGAACCCAACGCCGAGACGTCTACCACAGCTTCTGCTCCCACTTCCAACACACCCAGCCGGAGGCCCTCATCCGCCGGCTCCACCTCCAGGAAGAGCCGACACCACCGGCCTCAGCTGGCCCCTCCTTTGCGCTTCCGTTATCCGGGGGTGAACCAGAAGGGACCGATCCTGGGATTCCGGCCTCCGTCGCGATCACGAGTGCCGGTATCGGTGCATGCAGAGCAAGTAGACGAGGGGCTACTCCGGGAGAGTCTTGCCGACTGCCAGTGAACCACCACTGGTATATTGTTTTAATGTCGAGAGTATCTTGTTGATCATGGTGCTGTCATTCTATTCAGTTACTACCTTATAGTATTGTCGAGCGTGGTTCCAGCATACACTATTGGGGTGTATGCACACATTCCCTATGTGGTTCATTACTTACTACTCTTTTATTCACTCATTCCTGTCTTGAAGGGGAGAGGGCGTTCCTTAGATATATTATGATACCCATGAGCGATGTCTATATTGCATACAAATACAGAAAAATATTTATATTACTATCATTAGAAGAGAAGGTAGTTAGTACTTTCTCTAATGGAATTATACAGATACCTAGATTTATACAGTGCACAGATAGTACCTATATCGTCACTCTTTTCTATTGTCTATAACATACATACACACATGGCACCTATACATAACCCCTCTTACATCCGAAATAGAATCACGCCGTAATCCTATACGTCCTAATCGGAATAGCCGTCGAATGAAAGAACCCCCTTTGATGCTCCTCCGCGGGCGACTCAAACTGCACCCGTTCCACCTTCAACGCACTCTCCTCTGCTCATTACAAACACAATTAGTTAGTCAATCAGTTCCACACACACACAAACCGATACCAGGGTATTTAAAAAGAGAGGGAAAATAAACCCACCACAAGCATCCAAAAACGCCCCAAACGTCCGCTCATTGCGCAATGTCGCGGAGATGAGAAATTCCTTGACGGCGTATTTCTCAAAGAGGGATTTGACGGTCTGTACCAGGAGGGGGACGAGGTCGATGTCGTAGATCTGGATTCGAGGTACCTACCTGTCAGTTTTTTTTTTTTCTCGTTTTTGAGATGGAGGAGGTAGGTATGTAGTGCAACGCGACACAACAGCACTTAATATAACACGATACGACACGACATGATGCACATCATTTCATCTGGTGTAGAGGTAGCTAGCTAGGTAGCTACCATGGCCAGAGGAATGGATAGTGCTCGGGAAATTCGCTCCAGATTAGGCGATTGCACCCAGTGCTTCGGGCCAGAGTTGCACGTTGTTTGTCCATGGTATAACCACAAACCACAGACCAACAAAGCTGAGGAAAAGATACGGAAGGGAAAGAGAAGAGAAGAACGTACCAAATCTGCACCCAACGCAACATCAAACTCTACCTTCTCACCATCTCCCACCTGCTGCAGTTCGTCATCATCATCATCATCCTCACCACTCCCCCTAGACAACTCCCTCCCCCACTCCCAAATCCACCCCTTAAACACCCCACCACCATTTCCCTCCCCAACTAACCCATTCCGTCCCGCACAATCCCTAATCTGCCTCATCAACCCCAGCTCCCGATCCGTCGCCACCACCACCTCCGGCTGCAAATACCTCGCACAGAACATCGACACCATGCCCGTCCCGGCGCCGAGCTCCAGCACCTTCTTCCCGGCGATGTGCGCCTTTCCTGCTGCCGTGGAGGAGAGGTACGTGGCCAGATGCAATGCGGCTTCCCATGTTCGGTGGCCGGTTGTACCGGCCGTTATGATTGCGGAGCGGGATTCGGAGGTGAGGATTGTTCGTCTCTCAGTAGTCTCCGATAAGGATGGGGAAGAGTTATGGTCGTCTTCTTCTGGTGGCGCGGTGTAGGTTATGTATGTGAGTTGTTGGGCTTGTTCGATTGATGAGGGTTTGGGGAGGGTGAGGAGCGTGCTGTATTCTTCGAGGAGGGATTCGTTGATTTCCTATTATATGGGAATTGTGGGTTAGATATAATGTGGATAAGGGTGGGTAGGGTATGCAGTGTAAAGCATACTCAAGGGATATGGATCAGGATCAGCGTACATCCTCCTCGGGGTTGGAGAGTAGGGATTCTAGTTTTGTGATGAGGCGCTTGAGCACGCGCGTGCGGTAGGCGGGTGGGGGGAGGGGTTGTTCATTTGCGGCGTGGGATTCGGAGAAGAGAGTGGTGTAGATGGTTTCTTGGGTGGTGGGGTGGAGGAGGTGGTTGTCTTCGGGGAAGGTGAGGAGGTGGGGATCGAGTTGTTGGAAGTATTGGGCTGTGAGGAGGGAGAGGGACATTTTGGATGTGCAATTGGAGTGAGTCGCTGTAGTTGAGATAAAAAGTGATATAGTAGATACTGATAAGTGGTTATCTTAGTGGATTGGATAGGTTAGTAAGCAATGCGCTACCCTAGCATAACTTCTTTGTATTTAGTTGATGGTTCTAACCTGTTATGGTAAGGTATGTATTACTAAGGATACACCCACAAAGGGTAATATTCTAACCCCATCCGGCTAGTGTAGCCTAGCCGAGCCCACAGGCGATGCACAACGAAACTCTGCCAAAATTGAATCGAGCGCATCTCGAGCCCGCCAACGACTGACAGCGACTTCGACAACCCGCGCCCCCCCGTTTCTGCCCTTCAGCTTCTCCCTGTCGCACGCAGATTCTCGCTGTCAACTGCACCTGCAACCATGGCCGACGCTCCCGTTACCCTGCGGACTCGCAAGTTCATCCGCAACCCCCTGCTTGCTCGCAAGCAGATGGTCGTGTAAGCTCCCTTCACCATGAGCTGGAAGGATTGGAAGGAGGAAATGCAGAGAGAATACGGACGGATACAACAAGAGGAGGAATAAGAGGAGGAAATATGTCCGGATGGAAATGTTCGATTTTTGAGCACACAGAGTATATACTACGTTATATATTTTGTGTGTGTGTGTGTGTGTGTGCTCTAATATCGAATATTGAAATTCGGACATATCAGACAGACAACATGAATTTGGGACAAACCAGCAAGGGAATAACGGCATGCTGATGATTGATTTTTCTTTCCAACAGGGATGTCCTCCACCCCAACCGCGCCAACGTCTCCAAGGACGAGCTCCGCGACAAGCTCGCCGACCTGTACAAGTCCAACAAGGACCAGGTCTCCGTCTTCGGTTTCCGTACGCAGTACGGTGGTGGTAAGAGCACTGGCTTCGCTCTCATCTACGACTCCCAGGAGGCCCTGAAGAAGTTCGAGCCCCTCTACCGTCTGGTCCGTATCGGTGCTGGCAGTAAGGTCGAGAAGCCCAGCAGACAGCAGCGTATGTTTACACCCACTTATACCATCAAAATCTATTCCCGCCGAAACAATACTCACAACCCATACAGGCAAGCAACGGAAGAACCGCTCCAAGAAGTTCCGCGGTACCGCCAAGACCAAGGGCCCCAAGAAGAACAAGGACTAAGCGGATCGTCACGATGGAATTCCGTGCGGTTGAGAGAGAGGGGGGTCGTTGCAGGATTCGAATTCACTTTCGGATCATCGGATACCTTACTACTCGGACGACGACGAAGAATTAGAAGATGGAGGAGAAGACGATCGTCGACACGCGGACCCGGGCCTGAAGTGAAAAATGAAGAAAGGAAAAAATTGTTACAATTTTTTTTTTTTTACTTATTCCCTGCTGGATATGAAGGGGGAAAAGGAAAAAAAAGGAAGGGAACACTGGGTTGGTGTGTGTGGTTGTCGTGTGTGTATGTGAATGAGGGCGTTATCATCAAACTCGTTTCATGGTTTCTTTTTAACTCTCCCTCTATTCTACTTACCGTATTGGGGCGGGCACCGCATAACCCGCCTGTGTTTCCTTGTTTTCTCGTTTTCCTCTTTTCTTTTTCCCTCTATCATATCACGATTCCCCCTCCCTCTTATGAAGAATGAAAAAAAGATCAGGGAAGATTTTCTTAAAAAACATTTTTCACTTTCCCCGCATATTCCCAAGACAAGACCAGACAAGACGCCTAGGCGATGAGTGTGGATTGGTCGTTTTTTCTTACTTCTTTCTTTTACTTCTTTCGCGCGCGCGTACCGGGGATATTCGGGATGGATATCCATTAAAATTAAATATATCCCTTTTTTGTTATTACCCTTATGACTTTCCCTTCCAGCCCGATAACCACTAGATTAGTACCTACAGTACACTACGTACCTATGTCTGTGCTGATAATCTCCCCTGCCCCCGGTCGATCTTCCGTCCGGAAACAACATGCCCATTTACCATTTACCTCCCAGATCCCAGAAGACAAAGACGAAGACAGGCAATCCATCCCAATCCAGGAATCCCATCCGGCCTACTACACCCTTCTCCCAACTTACGCCATCCAACAATCCTTCTTTCTATCCCCACGCGCCTATATCGCCAGCCACCACCACCACCACCACCATCATCGAATTAAACTTCCCTATCCTATCAGATACTACCAGTAAGTGTAGTGAGATTCCCCACATACACATACTACCCCCTAAGCCCAGCCCACTATCACTTATCTACCACCACAGTAAGACATATCCAAAGCCTAAATAAATCAGGGTAGTATTCATTTGCCCCCAACCTCCCCCCGATAGCCTGGTAAGTAAGTACTTACGTAGTAACCATCTCTTTCTTTGTCCCGTTCGTTGTCCTACCCAACATCACCCCATAGACACGGTACACATAACACATCATACTACTACTTACCACCCGAGCGGAAGCTGGACCCGGGAGACCGGGAGACCGGGAGACCAGTGGTGTGGTTTGGGGGTTACATGGGTTGGAGTAGTATAATTTAATTTAGAATTTGTGTACGAAGTTTATTATTAGTCTGTACTATATTGTAACTACTGTAGGTAGGTAGGTAGGTAGGTAGGTAGTATTATATTATTATAGTCTGGTACTATACTTGGGGTAACGGCTTGGCGGGGATGTGGATGTTATGTGGATGTGGGGAGTTGGGGATTGGGGTTTCACTTGGGGAGGTTAGGGTGGGTTGGGGAGGGCTAAGTTAAGCAGGTAAGTAAGTAGTTTGGTTTAGTTTAGTTTAGTTGAGTGAGATGGTCATACTCATGGGCTGGAGCTGGAGCTGGGTTCTCTGTTCAGTGGTTGGGTTGGGATTGGAGGATAAGTGGTGTGAGTTGGGGCTAGGTAGAGGTCAATTGAAGAGATAGGGATACTGTAGATGATTTTTTTCAGAGTGTCTACAGCTATTCACAGCATGTCTAAAAGTATAGATCAATAGTATGTATGTAAATAAGTAAATGCTATCCTTATTATTTTCATACATTCCCCTCTTCTCTCCACTCTCTCCCTCCCATATTAAGGTCACGCGGGTGTAACCATTAGGCTGCCAGGCAGCATTAACAAAGGCCAGTCAACGTAAGAGTAAAAGTGTAAAACAAAACAGGAATAATGGATGGGGTAATCAAAACATAGTAAAAGTATTATGACAACAACAGCAGTAGTAGCAGTAACAACGGCGCCCCCTCTTTTCCGTGGCCCAACAAATAATGAAACAATTCGAGACAATTAATTAAGCAATAGGTTATCAAACCCAACGAGCCACCTGCGAACAAAGAATAACCAGCCAGCCCACCCTGGGGATCTTGTCAGGCTGACAAGGTAATCAATAGCACCCGGCTGAAAAAGAACACAAAAATAAGGGGCAGAAACAAATCAAAACACAGAGCCAACCGACCCTAAGATTAGTAGTGTAACATTTGAGTTATTTGTTTTTCTCTCTCGTTGAGTGGACATGTGTAAAATGGCCACAAAATTAAAGCACTCGGCTTTGGAAAATGGTACTGTTTGCCGACGTCGCTGTTTGTAGGATTAGGGCCCTTGTTGGTGGCCAACTGGGGATCGGCGCTGCCAAGGCGCTTAACGGTCTATAGATAGCTTGTAAACTACCCTGGACGTTCATCGGGACGCATGGACACTTCAGTCCCTAGTACTCGCTCGAACTGTTCAGCGACGGCATGGCGGTGTGGTGGTGTATCTCGGTGGCTGCTCGAAACGCTGGGCTGTGAACCAACGGCGGAGGACTGGGATGTCCCGGCACTGGGCGCGTGTACGTGAGCCCGCTCATCAACATCGATCCTGCCCCATCGGTGTGCGAGTGGTTTTTGTCGCGCCTTTCGCTACTACTATACACATAGGTATCGGAGCCGTAGTCGGAAAGGTGGTCATGCGAGAACGTCCGCGATGGTTGGTGGCTGTCGCTGGGGCTCGCGCGAAGCCCGTCGCTCGTCTCAACCGCGTCATCCAACGCAGAAGCAAACGAACCAGCAGCGACTAAAGGTGATGAGCTGCCATTCGACGGCAAGTAACCAAACATCATATCTTGTGCCGATCTACTCCGGTTGATAGCACCGCTTCTGTAAGCCTCGCTTGGGCTCTGCATGCGGCCATGGTTTAACATGGCGCTCTTGTGCGCCCAGCTGTTGCTGGTCCGGTACCCGTATGGTATCCCGTAGAGTGTCTCCTCAGTTGTCGTGAAGGTGTTCATCCCCATCTGAGCTTGGTTCCGACTGGGATTGGGAAGCGTTCGGTCCGTCCCTTGCCCTTCTGCGGTAGGAAAGCTCATCGTTGGGACGATTGGTGGGCCTTCCGTCGAGTGAGGAATGTAAAACGCCGATTGACTCAGGGCGGCCTCGGCATCGCTGTCTGGATATACTGGTCCACTGGGACTCCTGCCAACAGGAACACTCTGATTCCACAACTTCGGGTTCCATGTCTGTCCGCAGTGATCCATGAAAATGTTCGGTGGAGCACTCGGCAGGATGTACCCAGACGACGGAGATGAATACACTGAAGCCTCATCTGAGTAGGGCAACCCGTGGTCCACCCCAAAGGGGTGTCGATGGTATGCACTATGAGGATCGGCTGATCCGAGATCATAACTAGAGGCCCGCGGAAAAGGGGCCATGCGAGGATTGGGTGAGGTCGTCGGTACATACAGACCGGATCTTGGAGACGGAGACATCGTAGTAGCTCCTGAGATCTGGGACCATTCGCTGGCTCTCGGCTGCATCATTTCCGAATTTACCTATGGCTGATCAGCTAATTGTCTCTAGAGCTGAGGTCTCGGAATGGAGACACAGTACATACCCTCAAGAATTGACAATTCTTGTTTCCGGCATTGATACAGTTAGAGCAACCATGTCCATTGCCACTGTCGCCACTACATTTGATCTTTCTTTTCCGACATCGGTTACACTGGTGATGATCAGTGTCTGTCCCTTCTGCAATCACATCTCAGCTTTAGATAAGTAACTTACTGCCACTTGTATCCGACGCCTGGTGGAGTTCCGGCTCTTGCTATCTAGCTCGCTGCTAGGGCTCACACAAGCAGAGCTTCTATCCACCATGTCATGATGAGATTCACTCCGTACGGAGTGTGCTATTGACAAGGCGTCTCGCTTGGACTGTGGACAGAAGCCGGCCTCGTCCACGGAAGAGTAGTAAGATTGAGCCATCACAGCTTGATCATTCAGTGCGGAGGAAAACATGGTTTCTCTATTGCAAGACTCACATGTAGTCAAGACAAGACTAAGGAGTGAAAAGACTTCTCAAAGGTTTGCTGCGAGCATAAAAATGTCGGTAGATCAGGGATGATAGGGACCAGCATGTTCCGTCTACCATCAAATATTCAAAAAGAAACCGGGAGGGATGAGGGGGGTTTTTAGCCGGAAGCAAGGCCAGATTTAAGTCCATGTGTCAGTGGTGCGTAGTCTTGCTGCTAGAAGAAGGCCTGGCCCTTTTCCTTTTGGGTTCAATTGTTTTAATTTCCATTTTATTTTCTGCGTGGGGAAAGGCCACTGCTGTTGGCTTCTAGCCTTGGGGATACATTTTCAGACCGATCATCACCTCACCAGGAGCATTTCCCCAGTTCCAAGGGGAATTAACGTCACATCCTGATTCGAGGTGGGTTTCTAGTTTGATACTTTAACTGTTCTTGCTCTGGTTGTACCAGGGGAGTAACATGCAATTTTCCGTGTTGCATTCTTATTCAAGAAAGAAAATCAGAATTTGTGAGTTGGAGGACCCTCAAGGCATGCTGATAGTAGACCAGGCAGGCCAAAATACCCCGGCGTTTTAGAGGTTCTGTTTCACAAAAGTAACGTTGCACCAAGTGACCTGATTTGATAGTCATTACCGCAAGACCTATCAAGCCTAGTTGGGAAGGCCTGAGATCTCTGAGCTGTTTCATCCAATCACCTCCCAATGGGCCATCCACTGGTGCTTCTGTTTCCGCCACTCCAGTGTTTGGATGATGACATGCTGCTCTCATAGAAGAAACGGCGTCCAAAGTGACAGGCCAAGTCGGCATCAGGAATAAGCGGTCGCGGAGCAGACAGCCGCCGGCTACGTTTGCAGGAACCCTCTCAGATGCGCCCACCTACCTACCCTACTGACGGGGGGTTGCGGGAGCAATGAACGTGTGCATGTTTGCCAATGATAGGACAATGGTCGACATAAGATAATCCTATTGGCTGCAGCCGCCGGTATCAAACAACCCTCGTTCTTCTTCTTCCCTTTTTTATAAATGACCTGCACGTCTAAAATAGTCAGTACTTTTGGCATACAGCATCCGTCTCGAATCGGATCGA